CCCCAAAACCCCAAAACCCCAAAACCCCATTGCAAATCCTGAATATTTTATAAAAATGAGAAATATTATCTAGAAGTTGATATGTATTAAATAAAATTTTTATAGTGAATTTTAAAACAATAAAATGAACCGATTGTATAATCTTGTTCAGAATGTAGATGAAATGTCATTTTCATCACATTATTCACTCAACTCTGATGAGGAAGAATAGAGACCTCCTTATATTTTATAGTCCCCAAAGAGTGAGCCGAAAAAAGAATAAGAATATATAGATGAGTTGAAAAATGAGGAGTAAGAAGATTAGAATATTTCGGCTGGAATACAACTAACAGCAAGTCCAGGTCCAATCAAAGTTCTTAGCGTTTTGGATGTAAATACAGATCATTTTGAGTCGTATCCTTTTGAAACACAGATAAATACAACGAAAATAGATGAGGATTTAAATGAATTGGATGCTTAACAAGTAGATTCATGCAATGATAGAAAAGAAAGGAGGTAAAAAAGAAAAAGGGAAAAAGATCGTCTCAGCAAGAGAACCCATAATATTGATTTGAACACTCAACCAGATGAAGCCCCCAATAATGAATTTGCCGTTGTCAAAGAAGAACCATCTCTTGAGTTGCTAGAAACTGAGCCTGTAAACACTAATGAAAACAGGGATCTGGAGATGGAACTCATGCTTCAAGAAACAGCTAAAATAGATTAGAAATAGGATGAAGATGAAGAAGAAATGTTAATAAATGAATAGCATCACTCCAATTAGAAAGATCAGGATTAAACTGAAGATATTATAGACGAAATTGGAGATAATAAAATTGAGGATTAGATGGAAGACGAGTTATTAGATAATATTGACTTCAAGAATGATATTCCAATGAGGTAGAATTCTCGGGATCAAGACAACTTTCTTCCTGTTATTAACGATTCTCCATAATTCTATAGCCCTTAGCGGCAATAATCCTAACCGTTCACTAAAACAAGCAAGAACTAAGAGGATGATTTGTTGGATGCAAATGAAAGCCCTAGAAGATAGGTATCACATCCTTCTTAACTACTTCTTGCGTCAAATATTAAAGGGGACAGAAAGTCCACTCTATCTATTATTGAGTTGACAAGCATCAATCAGGATTTGTAAAAATTACTATTTGATGACTCCAGCTAAATATCTAAGCCCTCAGGAAGAAATATAATGGACAACATGAGCATAACTTCGGGGAGAAATCAACCATAACCTTTTTTAAGAATAAAAAAAACTCTGAAGCCCCGATAATCAGAGGAAATGAGTAATAGCGCTCGAAGTAGTGCAAAGCACCAGTAACAGTAGACAGAGAGTAAATTAATTAATAGAACAATAACTAAAAACCTTAGAGATATCTAAGTTAAACGTAAGCATGAACTAAATGAAACTCGCTAATCATTTTCCACAATCATTAGTGAAATTAAAATTCTAGAACAACTCAAGAAGGAGACTTAAGATTTCTAAAGCATTAGGCCTCCAATTAATATTACAATTGGTGTAGATGAGGGATAGAAAAGTTTGCAAGAAACGATGATTTTGTCTCAGTAATAGCATAAAGCCTCATTTAATAACTCAATGAATTAGGAAAAAGCAAACACACCTGAATCCCTTAAAGAGATCATCAAACCTAAGAAAGTTAACGTGATATCAAAGAAAAATCTAAAAAATCTTAAGCTTCGCTTAAATGAGCAAAATAAAAAATAAAACTCATCACATTAATCAGCTGTATTGCCATCAAGGTAGGCCAAAGATTTTATGTTGAGAAGAAGTAATAGCCAGACGCAGAAGAATAATTCAGGGAATAACAGTCAATCTAGGTATAACTTGAGATCTAATTCAAGAGAAAACAAGAGAACAATTAACTTGGAGAGCAGTTTTGGAGAAAATATCTTAGCTCAATCCATACCCCATACGACTAAAAATAGTTTTAAATAAAGTAAACTTAGCAGCACAATGACTAATTTCAGTAAAGTCATCAAACAAAATAACTTGTTTGAAAGTTAAACTTCATCACAAATGGTTCCTCGATTAAATCAGCAGCATTCTGATACAAGTTTGAAACATCACTAGTAACCCAAAAACAAACCCCCAATAGCTTAGAAGGGAAACAAAAAGCAAGCTCAAAGATAATATATGAACTCCTTAGAAAGTTTTAAAAATCTACAATAAATCTACTCTGGAGTTAGCCAAAGTTCGCTCCTTAATATGAGCAGTGAAAATAGATTTACAATCAATAATGAAGGTCCTCAGAGCAAGGAAAAAAGTCAGAGCAATTCCAGATATATTTCGCCTCAGAGAAGTACACAGTAATTATAAATGAACAACTCCATTAATTTGCCTTTGAATACTCCAACTAACTTTTACCCATCACTGAATGGCAATTTAAATTCATTCTTACCGCCACAAGTACCTAATAAATCTCATAGTCGAATAGTTGGGACACCTGGCAAAAACATTATCAACACTAATCACAACTCCTATGTAATGTTTGGAGTAAATATCATTCAAAAGTCCTAGATCGATTGACCAAAGTAAAGTCTGAAATTATTGTTGGAGCACTGCTAACCATCCAGTTTAATATGATCCTAAGAATCTGCTTGTCAATAGGAAGTCACATTTTGAAATTCATCAAAGATAAAATTGAAATTTATAGTCATTGACCAAATTATAATAAATATATTCATACTTTAATTACTCATATATGTTACATTATACCTAGTTATAATTTATATGTCACGGGGTTTTGGGGTTTTGGGG